GCACCCCTGGTGCAGAATTAGTGTAAAAGTCGTGAATTTTATATTCTTGTAATATTTATTAGTATGGATTAATTATTTTTAAAACGGTGACATCCTGTATAAGGCAGCTGGGTAGTTTTGGGTCTGTTTTGGATCTGGTTTTCATCTCCTCCTTCCTTTGCAGCAGGCCATGGGGATTGTGCAGCAGCAAGGGGTGTGGGCAGCAGAGTGGTTGTGCACATGGACCTGGACTGCTTCTATGCACAAGTGGAAATGATCCATAATCCAAAATTAAGAGACAAGCCTTTAGGTACGAGCTCCTTCACTGTTCATTTGGGGATTGCATGGATTCAGGGAGAAAAATGTAAGAGATGTGAAGAAACTTAAGGGCGTGCCTGTGTGGGGAGATCCCAAACCCTCCTGGGTGTGACCCTGGGCACCCTGCTGTGGGTGAGCTGCTGGAGCAGGGGGTGGGATGAGATGGTCTCCAGAGGTCCCTTCCAACCCCCAGCAGTGTGCAGACACTTTGCAGTATTTGCAGCATCATCATGGTCTTCTAGAAGTAGCAAAAAAAAATCTTAACTTGAAAAAATAAACATTGCATCTTGATTTTATAGGTGTGCAACAGAAATACCTCGTAGTTACCTGTAACTATGAAGCAAGAAAACTTGGAGTTAAGAAACTGATGTCTGTCAAGGATGCTAAAGAGAAGTGTCCTCAGCTGGTACTGGTTAATGGAGAAGATCTAACTCCCTACAGGGAGATGTCATACAAGGTGACAGGTAAAAAATGAACCATTTTTCAGTGGAGGGCAAACACTTTCTGTTAAACTCTGCCTGTGCACACATGTGCACCAGTATGTGACATTTTCCTGCTCTAGAAGTTATCACAAGACTCAGACCATGGTGATAATACTTAAAAATTGTACAGTGTCAGTATTTCATAAAATTTTAGTGAGTGTCCAAAGAAGGGCAACAGAGCTGGGGAAGGGTCTAGAGGCCAAGTGTGGGGAGGAGCAGCTGAGGGAGCTGGGGGTGCTGAGCCTGGAGCAAAGGAGGCTCAGGGGAGACCTTCTGGCTCTGCACAGCTCCTGACAGGAGGCTGAAGGAAGGTTGGGGTTGGTCTCTTCTCCTGGGGAGCAAGCAATAGGACAAGAGGAAATGGCCTCAAGTTGCACCAGGGGGGAGGTTGAGGTTGGACATGAGGGAAAATGTCTTTTGGAAAGGGTTGTGGAGGTCTGTGCCAGGCTGCCCAGGGCAGTGGTGGAGTCCCCACCCCTGGAGGGGTTTCCAAGCCCTGGAGATGTGGTGTGAGGGACACGGGGCAGTGGGGACCTGGCAGTGCTGATTATGTTTGGACTCAATTATCTTAAAGGTCTCTTCTAACCAAAACAATTCTATTATTCTATGAAATTTCCAAATGTGAAGCCAGGGAGGACAGAATGCAGAAGCCCTCGAGCAGCTGGACTTCTCCAGCATCTCTAAATGAAATTATAGACCCTGAGCTCTGCTCTTCTCATTCTCAGCAGCAGTGAAATAGTAATAACTTAAAAGTGAAAGCTCACCTAGCTGGGAAGCAGCTTTCCTGAGAAGGCACTGCACAGGTTAGAACTGTCACTTTACAAACCAATGAGGAAGGAAAGAGATTTGGGGAACAGAAAAGCCTATGACAGAAGTAGTTGTGGGATGAAGAAATACTCCTCCTCATCACCTTTGCTAAAATAAATGCCTTAGTGGTGTGTCTGGAAGGGAAGAGTTTCTCTTCAAGAAACTCTCTTGAAACTCTCTTCATCCTAGTTGAATCTGTGGGAAATCAGCAGTGGATTGGTGCAGCATGAAAAGCTCCCATTGCTTATGGTGTGCATCTGATCCTTGGCTTCCTTTTCCTCCTAGAGCTGTTGGGGGAATTTTGTCCCCTGGTGGAAAGGCTTGGGTTCGATGAGAACTTTGTGGACGTCACAGAGATGGTAGAGAAAAGGCTGAACCAGCTCCAGCAAAGTGGATGTTGCAGAGTCTGTGTGTCTGGCCACGTGTACAACAACCAAGGTGAGTGAAATGGGGTTTTTTTTGTGTTAAAAAACCCAGTAAATATTGGTGTGGAGTTCAGCACAAAGTATCTGTCTGCTTCCAAGTACTGTCCAGGGCTTGGAAATTGGTATTGCTCTGTGTTAGAGAGTAGCACAGATGTTCATGGGCTTTGAGAGGATGGAAATGCCTGAAAACTTACCAAAATGTAGAGAATCAGCTCACGAGGTGACCGTTTGCCTCCTGAGCTCTGCTTCTTTCTCCTCACAGCTCTCAACCTGCAGGACACGACGCACATCCGGCTCGCCCTTGGCTCACAGGTTGCAGAGGAGCTGAGGGAAGCCCTGGCCACCAGACTGGGCCTGACGGGCTGTGCTGGAGTGGCCTCCAACAAGCTGCTGGCTAAACTGGTGTCTGGGACCTTTAAACCCAACCAGCAAACGGTTCTCCTGCCCGAGAGCTGCCAGGAGTTAATGCGCCGCCTCGACTCCATCCAAAAAGTGCCTGGTGAGGATGGTGGTGTGGGCAGCTGATAATTCTTAGAATGATAAGAAAAATTAGAGCTGGAAATATTGCTGAAAAGCTGGTTTCACTGCATTAGTGAAAATAACTGTCATTAAGCTGGTTTCACTGCATTAGTGAAAATAACTGTCAGTCCTAAGCGAGTGGGCTTTAAAAATATATTTTCAGTTTTCTTTGTATTTTTAATACATTTTTCATTCAGGCATTGGCTACAAAACCACCAAACGTCTTGAGACACTGGGTGTTAGGAACGTGTGTGATCTCCAGCTGTTCCCATCTGCTCTGTTAGAGAAGGAACTGGGTGTTTCTGTCGCTCAGCGTATCCAAAAACTCAGCTACGGAGCAGACGACTCCCCCGTGACTCCCTCAGGCCCTCCACAGGTACAAGTATTACTCTCATAAAGAGGGGGAAAAAATATCACTTTTAGTTCTACACAGCTTTGCTGGATGAACTAAAATGATGCATTTTTGGATGTATTCTTTAGTAAAACTCAAATGTAGAATTCTCCCAAAATTCGGTCGAGCTCAGGGTCTCAAAAGTATCTTGGGGTTAATTCTCCACCTTTAATTGTGAGATTATTTTTCCTCTTCAGAATTTTGAAGTAAATACAAAAGGACTAACATGGGATTTTTTTTTTGTAGTCCTTTAGTGATGAAGATTCCTTTAAGAAGTGTTCATCTGAAGTGGAAGTTAAGGAGAAAATTGAAGAGCTGCTTCCTAACCTATTAGACAGGTGACTTGTCTTCACTGGCTCTTTTGGATGACTGAAATTGTGGCCTGCAGGGACTTGGAGCCTGTGTTAGATTCATCTCACACTCTTCATTTCTTCTCTCAGCTGCTTTAGGGGCAGCACCTGCCTCTCCAAGTTCCCCTTTGGTCTTTTTGGCCTCAGTTCATGGATTGTCCTGCTGTCTTGCCCCACTTCTTTCTTGCCCTAATAATTTCTCTTGAAATTATTGATGAGTCTTAAAGGTTTTCTGTCCCCACGTCTCTGCCACAATATATATCACCATTTTAATTGCATTAACACCCTGGGCAAGGAGTCTTTGAGCTGCTTGTTGGGTGTTGCTCAGTCATCACAAAATTTGAAGTGAGGCTGTTTGTCCTTCTTGTTCACAATAATCCCCTCCCTGCATACATTTTGGGGGGGGAAAGACACAATGCCATGCTTGGTTTCTTACCCTCCTCCCAAAAGCCAGCTAATCTTTTGCTGCTGAAGTGGGGATGGTGCCTTGGGAAGCAAAAAGAAGAGTTAGAAGCTGAGGATGATACAGGTTAGAAGTGCAGACTGTGCTGTTTGTTTGAACTGTGGAACGTGGCAGTGCTGCAGACTGCTGTCACATCCACCTATGCTTGGTTTCTTACCCTCCTCCCAAAAGCCAGCTAATCTTTTGCTGCTGAAGTGGGGATGGTGCCTTGGGAAGCAAAAAGAAGAGTTAGAAGCTGAGGATGATGCAGGGTAGAAGTGCAGACTGTGGTTCTTGAACTGTGGAACAGTGCTGCAGACTGCTGTCCCATCCACCTTGGCTGAAGACCCTTGGATGACACTTGTTGACTTGGATGAGCCTTGGAGACCGATCCCCTTGTACTGAACTTCTAACTCTGGGGGAATTGAGGGGATTTCACTGTGTGACCCTGACTGTGAGAGTTTCTGCAGATCCTCTGACAAATGCTGGTTGTAATTGTTGCTGCTTTGTGCCCTTGAATGCTCCACAGAGTGCAGAAGGATGGGAGACAACCACACACCATCAGGTTGACCATCCGGCAGTTCTCCTCAACAGACAAGTGGTTCAGTCGGGAGAGCCGCCAGTGTCCTCTCCCACCTCACCTCCTGCACAGGTTTGGCAGAGGTAAACCTTGGATTCCTGAAAGCATCCACCTTGCACTGCCACCACTGAGCTCTCTGAAATGCCACTGCTCAACTTCATTATAGTATTCCCTACGTTTCATATTTTGTACAATCATTAAGGTTGGAAAAGACCTTGAAGATCATCAAGTCCAGTCATCAACCCAACGCTGCCATGACCACTAAACCATGTCCCCAAGTGCCATGTCCACACATTTTTTTAACCCCTCCAGGGATGGGGACTCCCCCACCTCCCTGGGCAATGTCTCACCACTCTCTCAGGACAGAAATTCCTCCTAAGAGCCAACCAAGACCTCCCTTGGTGCAACTCCAGCCCATTGCCTCTCATCCTGTCACTTGGGAGAAGAGACAACTCCCACCTCACTCCAACTTCCTGTCAGGGAGTTGTAGAGAGCCAGAAGTTCTCCCTTCAGCATATTCTCCAGATTAAACACCCCCAGGTCCCTCAGCTGCTTCTCACCAGCCATGTTCCCCAGACCCCTCCCCAGCTTTGCTGCCCTTCTCTGGACCCACTCCAACCCCTCAAGCTCTTTCTTCTCCTGTGACACTAAAAACTGACCCCAGTGCTCAAGCTGTGGCCTCCCCAGTGCTGATTTTCAGCGGCCCAGTCTCTCCTCTGCTCCTGCTGGCCACACCAGTGCTGATCTAGGCCAGGATGCTGTTGGCCTTCTTGGCCACCCTGCTGGCTCATGTTCAGCCAACTGGCCTCCAGCACCCCCAGGTCCTTTTCCACCAGGCACTTTCCAGCCACTCTTCCCCCAGGCTGGAGCACTGCCTGGGGTGGTTGTGACCCAAGGGCAGGACCTGGCCCTTGCCCTTGTTAAACCTCATACAATTGACATTGTTATTGTACCTTTTGGGTAGAATCAGATTATTTTTAAAATCTAGTCAGCTTGGCTTCTAGAATTCTTGTTTTCTAATATGAAGTAATGTTCAGAGGTATGAAATTAAAAGCATTTTTACTGGAGGTGGAGAAAAAAGCCTGTCCCTCAGTTCAGGCCACACCTGACAGGGCAGAGTGACTCTTAACAACTATCCACAGCTTGTTTTGGAAGCCTTTAGCAGTATTTAGAGTTTAATACTTCATGGATTCATGTTCATGAATAAAGGTTTTCTTAGATAAATAGATATATTCTCATATCACTGCATTTTCAATGCCTTAGATTATGTCTGAGCCCTTATTTTTATGCACCTGCAGAACAGTGAAAGTTCAGGATGTGGAGTTAGAAATCTCCCTTTGTATTTTGCTGTTTAAATCAATCTTCCTCAGCTACCTCTGGTGACATACCTTGCTTTTTTTCCCCTGCTTTTTTCAGACAGCAGCGACCTTCTGTCCCCACTGGTTGATCTGCTAATGAAACTCTTCCGAAAGATGATAGATGTAGATCTGCCATTTCATCTCACCCTGCTGAGCATCTGCTTCTCCAACCTCAAGGACCTTCCTAGCAGCAAGAAAGGATCAATTGGTTTCTATCTAAAGCAGATGTCACCACTAGCAGGCTCTGGGAAACGTGCCCGGGTAAGCTGAAAGATCCTGGAAACTTTTCTTCTAAAAAAATAATTAGGAGCTTCCAAATGGTGTTGTGTCATTAATTCCCTGCTTCTTTCTTAGCAGTTTGGTGTGTTGAGGGACTTGGCTGTTTCTCAGCCTCCTCAGGAATAGGAGGGATAATGTCATACCTTGTATTCTAAAGCTTCACAGTTTTACAGCAATAAAATTTAACTTTCAAGGTGTTTGCTACTTGAAAAGAAGAAGATTCCTATTTGTGTGTGTGCTTTTGAAGGTCTGTGTTTGGGAATAATATTTAAAAAAACACTACTTATAAGGGGAAAAAAAAATTAATGTGCTAAGGAATAATTGGAGGAACCTGCTGTTAGGAAAATGTTGCTTGGCTACTAGGAGATTACACAGAACATGCTTTTATGTCCTTTTTCTTTGCCACAGGAAGTAGAAGATGTCCCACAAGGTGAGGGAAGTGCTTCGTGGAACCAGGAGCACCACAGACCTGGAACTATGAAAACCAGGAAACTTTCAGAGGGAGAGGAACTCAGTACAAAAAAAGCAGGAATTCCTGACTTCCCCTTTCCCTTGTCTCCTGGTGACATCGACCAGGAAGTCTTCAAGGAACTTCCAGAAGATATTCAGAAAGAAATTATTTCTGAAAAAACTACAGCAATCCCTACTGGGAATGTTTTGGGTCAGCCATCAGGATGTTTTTCCCCAAATTCTAAGGGACCAGCCAACGACCCCCACTCTGCAGGATGCAGCATCCACCTTGCATCAGCCCCTGAATCCACAACTCCTCCAGCAGACAGCTCCAGGGCTGGTGGTTCCTCTGAGTGTCACAGGAACGTGCTGACAAGCAGCAGGGTGGAAAAACAACCTACTGACCATCTGAGCTTCAGTGGGAGAGATCTGTCACCTCCCAGAGCTGCAGCCAGCCCAGATCAGAGCCAGCTCAAAGATAAGCAGGCCTCTGAAACAACTTCAGAGGATCAAGCTTGTAGTAGGGACGTGGGAATTGTATTTCCTCCAGATGTTGATGCAAAGACTTTTTATGAACTACCTGCAGAGGTGCAGAAGGAACTACTTGCAGAGTGGAAAGGACAGGAAGCTGGGCCCAAAACTGCTGTGGATAAACCCCCTGAAAGGCCCAAAGCAAGCAAAGGAAGGAGGAATGCAGCAGCACCACGTTTCTCTCAGTCTAACAGCTTGCTAAGATATTTTAAACCACAGTGAAACACTTTTCACAGCAGTGGCACTACAAGAATCAGCACTCAAAGGCACTTTAGTTAGGGAAGGTTTACTATAAATTGTACAGATGTGAATAGGAAAAGTATATTTTGACAACTTTTGGAATAAAAGCTGCTGGTGACTCTGTGTGAGTAGTAATTAGTCTTATTTTTCTTTCTTTTACATCGACTTAGCTGAGGAATCTTTAGTTGTCTTAAAAATATTCTAGTATGCCAAAATATTTTAGTATTCACTATTAAGACCTTAACATGCTAAGGGAGAAGGAATTTTTACTTTAATTTTCATGGAGTTATACATGTCTGAAGTTGATTGTTGGTAACAACGTGGGAGGAGACTGAGAGAGAAGAGAAAGCAATTTTCACTCTTGATTTTCACCTCTTCCCATGATTATTAATGGCAATTGCTGCTCACATGGTTGTTTCCTGCAGTGAACTCCTAACTAGAGGTACTAAAAATACTAAGGGGTGATGGGCAACATTGCTACCAAATGAATCATATCACCAGCTTGTTCCTGGAAATTAGTCAGCACATAAAAATGGTTTCAGTTGGTGCTGAGGATTCAAAAAATGTCAAACAACCCCATGTAGGAAGAGAAGCTTTTAATGAGATGCTATAAACAAATACATCAGGCTTTCTTCAAAGATCCCATCCCCAAACAGTGAAATAGTTGCTGATCACACTTGATAAACATGTTGAAAGTCTCCAGTACACAAGATGTTTGCTGGTTTGGGTCAAGGGTACAGAACTGAGGTAAGATTTTATCAAAGTGTGTTTAAAGCTGGGGCAAAACATTTGACTACTGTATTTTGACATTGCTATGATTTCTACCACCAGATTAAGGTGTGTTTATATATATCCTCTGTAGATAAAGTGCAAAAATCTTAAGGAATGTCAGCTGCTTACATGGAAAGTGACATCCTGGACTTGGATGGCACTTCAGTGTCAAGGCTTGCATCGCTCCCAAGAAAACCATCTCAATAATTAAGCTTTAGGTATTTCCACAACCTAAGACTTAGTGGGGGACTTCAGTGGTTATTATTCTCCACTTACATGGAACAAGGCTCTTTGAAGGCTTTCAGTCCAGCTCTGGTTTCAGTGATGAGGTTGATGAGGGTCGCAGGCAGCGCCGCCTCCACCACGGAGCCCGGCAGCATTCCTCCCAATTCAGGCTGAATAAACACCACCAGCTTGGAATGTTCTGGGTTCCTGGGATGAAAGGAGCAAAACCCTTCAAGTTCACACTTGGCACTTGCTGAGCTGGACTCTAAATTGGAAATATTTGTGCATCTCTTCAAATGACTAAGAGGGGGAAAAACGGAGGGTGGCTTAAGTTTCAACGAATCGGTCACAAAAACCACCAGCACAAAACTCTTCCAAGTTTCCACCCGAATCAAGCTGAGTAAATCTTTCTTAAAAAGCTGTGTGGTTCAGGGAATGTTTAAGGAAAGGACAAGGCACAGAAGTTAAAGTTCTTACTCAGGCAAGGGGGAGCAGACGTATCCACAGGGGTTGTTGTAGCCTCGGACACAAGAGGGGGTTGGAGGGCAGCTGGAGCACTCCACGCTGACAGCTACAAACAGCAAACCCAAATCAGGACAGTTCTTGACATCAAATCCCCAGCTCAAAAATACCTCTGGAGAACAAACTGCTCCCAGTGGAGCAGGCCAGAGCTGGCACTACGGTGGCTGATGTCACCAGCAACTCATCCTGCACTGAGAGGCCATTCAGTGTTTGTGGGAGTGATTCAACAGATTCCTGTAGAGCCAAAAGTCTTCTCCTCAAGACATGATTGATGGCACGTACCCAAGTGCTGAGGTGTGGCTCAGCTCTGGACACAGAAGTCAGTGGATGTCATTAAGCAGTAAACACAATGGCAGGGCAGAGGAGGAAACAGCAGCACAGGCAGAGCAGGGGTGAGGAGGGGCTGGGTTTAGTTACCCAGGACTTTGGCATAATCAACTATTGTACAAATATGGCTTGAAAAATAACTGAGGGGTCAGTAAAGTTCCAAGATAAAAAAAAAATGTTGTTTTCATAGAATTGTTTAGGTTGGAAAACATCTTTAAGGTCATGAAGTCCAACCATGAACCTGACTCTGCCAACTCCACTGCTAACCCATGTCCCTCAGCACCACATCTCCAGGGGTGGGGACTCCACCACTGCCCTGGGCAGCCTGGCACAGCCCTGCACAGCCCTGCACAGCCCTTACTTGGGAGACATTTCTCCTCAGGTCCAACCCCAACCTCCCCTGGGGCAACTTGAGGCTGTTTCCTCTTGTCTCCCTGCACAGCCCTTACTGGGGAGACATTTCTCCTCAGGTCCAACCTCAACCTCCCCTGGCACAAACTGAAGCTGCTTCTTGTTCTGTTTCTTGTCCCTTGGGAGCAGAGCCTGACCTCCACCTGGCTCCAGGCTCCTGTCAGGAGCTGTGCAGAGCCAGAAGGTCTCCCCTGAGCCTCCTTTGCTCCAGGCTCAGCACCCCCAGCTCCCTCAGCTGCTCCTCCCCACACTTGGCCTCTAGACCCTTCCCCAGCTTTGTTGCTTGATCCAGCCTGGTGAGATCCCTCTGCAGAGCCTCCTACCCTCAAGCAGATCAACACTTCCACCAAACTTGGTTCAATCTGCAAACTTAGGGTGCATTCTATCTCCTCATCAAGATCATCAATAAAGATGTTAAGAAGTGGCCTCAGTAGCAAGCCCTGGGGACACCACGTGTGACCAGTGGTTCAATCTGCAAACTTAGGGTGCATTCTATCTCCTCATCAAGATCATCAATAAAGATGTTAAGCAGAAGTGGTCTCAGCAGCAAGCCCTGGGGACACCACATGTGACCAGTCACCAACTGGATTTAACTTCACTGGTCACCACTCTTTGGGCCTTCCAGCTGGTGATTCACCCAGCAGAGCACACACCCCTCTAAGCCAGGAGCAGCCATTTTGATGAGAAGCTTGTGTTTCACCTTAGAATTTCCAGATAAAACATAAAACCAGGCAGTAGCTACACACAACTTACAGTTAGTTGTAAGGACATCACCAGGGTAGGGCTTCACATGCAGCAGGTCAACAAAATCTCGTGATGAAATCAGCCCCATGCCATAACTGTGGGTTACACTGTGGTATATCCCAGTGTCCTACAAGGGAGTGAAGGGCATTGGGGGAGTTAGCACTCAATTAGCAGGTTCAATTATTGAACTGGCTAAGCAGCGTTACATGGTGAGTAATGAGTAGGAGGCAAAGATGGATTCCTGATGGCATAAGACAATAGTTCTCAACCTCTAGTTAGTGCTGAGCCAAGAAAGGGATTTTTGAGGAGCACGTGGTAGGGATGGATCCACTGGCCTTGATTTCATAGAATCCTCTAGGCTGGAAAAGATCTTTAAGATCCTCAAGTCCAACCATTAACCTAACTCTACCAAGTCCACTGCTAAGCCATGTCAAGGAGCATTGTTCCTGCACAGAAAAGCCCAAAATGTCCACATTTAAAATCCACTTTTGTGGAGATAGAATCATAGAATCCCTCAGGTTGGAAGGGACCTCCAAGATCATCAAGTCCAACCATTGAGCCATTAGGGCTCTGAAGTCCTCTGCTAAAACAGATCAGAATCTGTCATGCCTGTTTGCATTAAAACACACTTTGCTTTTTAGGACAAAGAATAAATTGTTAAATTAAACCAGTACCTAAAAAAACCAAAGAAGATATGGCTGGATGTACAGTCACATCCCAACATCTGACCAACTTGAGGGGAGCTGTTTGCATTAAAACACACTTTGCTTTCTCTTTAACTGTTAAATTAAACCAGTACCTAAAAAAACCAAAGAAGATATGGCTGGATGTACAGCTACATCCCAACATCTGACCAACTTGAGGGGAGAGAGGTTCAGGGAAGACTAAAATGGTTGGATTCCTCCCCCTTGCCCAGTTGAGGGAATACTTTCATACCCTTGAGTCTTTCACATGGGTAGGATGTCCTGAGACCTCTCTCCATCATACACAGGGTCATCTTCTCCAGCAGTGAGATCAAAGCCAGCTAACAGATGATACTCCTGGGAACCTGGGGGTTCCAGAGTGCCCAAGACCAAGCCTCAAGCCAAGGGAGCTCAGGATTTGGCAGCACTGACTCCATTTCCATGGTGAGTTCTTAAATTTGGGGAAACCACACTGCCTGAACCAGGCACTTTCCCTACACCTTGTCATCATGTCTCACCCTGCTCCTGATAGACACTTCTGTGCTTCTCCATGGTTTGGATTCTTGAGGCATGTTTGAGGACATTTAATAATTAAAAATATTTAACTTCACTCTAATTTTTAAAATCCCCCTAAATATTTAGCTCCTAAGGGGAAGGACACAACTCCTACACATTTCACACAAGGCTTTGAATGTTTTCCTGGCCCAGAATGCATTTTGCACTGAGAGCTTTGTCCAGGTCGAGGGCTTTTTAATCCCTACAATTCACACCAAAAGAATTAAACTAAAATCTTTGTATTAAATGCTAACATTACCTGGTCAATCCTTTCCAGCAGCTTGTAGGATTGCAATGCTTTGTCCCATTTGCTTCGATGCTCAGGAAGATACATAAATGGAATGATTTTACTTGGGACCTCCTTAATTATCCCTTCTCCACGATATCTAGATTGTGTAAAAAAAAACCCAGATATTGAATTCACACTCATCAACTGGAAAAATAAGTTGTATGCTAATAAGCACCCAGCAGTTGGGGCTGCCAGGCTAGAATGAGGTAAAGCCACAAATGTGCTTGCACATGATTAAAATTTAAATAGAAAGAACAATTATTACTCTGCAACTGATTTTTGTGACTGTTATATTCTCCACACCACACTTTTAAAATGAATTATTTGTGTGCTGTTAGAGAGGAGCCTTTTAATTTATATCTCTGCCATTCATCTGTTCATTTGTTTCTTCTATATTAAGACACTTTCAATCCATTTTGATCCAGATCTTGGCACTCTTTATGAATTAACACACCCTGGCATTTCCCCAACTTCTCTTCATAACCTTCTGAGGGGTTCAAGGGGAAGTTTGCAGAGGGGAAGAGGGGCCTGGCACAAGGAAACGGGCACCTTGGGAGGTGCTGGGCACTGCTGGCTGGTACTTGTGAGTTCTCACACCTAGTTCCTGGAGAAACTGTGAATCACCCCAGAGAGCAATTAGAGAGAAAGGTGAAGGATGCTACCTGGGGACAGCAGAGCACAGAGGACAGCATGCTGCAAGCAGGTGAAGAAGTGTGAAATCACATCTACAGACCCCAAGGATCATAGAATTATTTGGGTTGGAAAAGACCTTGAAGCTCATCAAGTCCAACCATTGACCCAGGTCCCCACTAAACCATGTCCCTCACACCACATCTCCATGGCCTGGAAGCCCCTCCAGGGGTGGGGACTCCACCACTGCCCTGGCCAGCCTGGCACAGCCCTGGGCACCTCCTCAGCTGCTCCTCCCCACACTTGGGCTCTAGACCCTGCCCCAGCTTCGTTGCCCTTCTCTGGACACACTCCAGCCCCTCAATGTTTTCCTTGTATGGAAGCACCCAAAAACTGAACATGAACTTGATGAGTGGAGGTGAGAAAGAGCAAAGATAACTGAGCTCAAACCCAAACACAGAGGCCCTGTAAAAATCACAGCCTGTTTCTCCACTCTGCAGCAACTCTTGTCACCACTCAAGCTGTGGTGGAGCCACACAACGTGGGTGCAGGAGACTGCTCCAGAAACTTGCTCCTCCACTACCTACAGCAGGTCCAAGAGCAACAGAAACAGTTTAACTCTTACTCAAACACAGCAAATAAAAGCTGTGGCACAACCAGTTCAAACCAGGAGATTAATATTTAAATCCCATGAACTTGTGTTTGCCAATCTCCTAAGAAGCTCTTGCCTGCATCCTGTAGTCTCATCTCTCCTTACCTCAGTGGGAGCTCTTAATCAGGAGGATTTCTTCCAGGCAAAGCTCCTGAAAGACATAGTTACTAGAATAAAATAAAGGGCACTCTTGTGAAAATCCTCATTTTCCAGTGGGTTCTTGGGAACACTGGAAAAAAGGGGAAGTAAGCTTGGTATAGATGGCTTGGGTCACCAAACCTAGTCATATTATCTTAGACAAACTGCACTAGATCCTTGGTTGTCTTTGTTCAGCTTAGGTGACAATGCCAGACAGAAGCCTTCAACAATCACCTTAATGCTCCCCTGAACTCTGCTGACAATATTCCATCCACTGAAGCAAGGATCTGTCTTGTTATTGCTACCAGATCCCATCCTGACTTCTTCTAGCAAGCAAAGCACACTTCATACTCCTGCCAGATTCTGGCTCCCTGCACCAAGTGGCAGAGAACAGGATGATGCTCCTCCTCAACTGCTCCATGTGGATCCAAGTACAACTGAAAATGGGATTATTTTCCTACAAAAAAAATAAGTCAGGCACATTCTTATGAATTCTAAGCAACTAGACTCTCCCTCCCTCATATCCATCTGTATTGAAATAAGGTCTGAACTAAAAGAATAATGTCACATACAAAGTATGCAGATTCTTAGCAACAGTACTTGTTTTCTAATAAAACAGGACACTGTTTTCCAGTATAATACTGTAGAGTAATTCTTCTGCAGTACCTGTGATAGAACATTGTCTTCTGTCATTAATATCTTCTCTGCTCAAACCTTCAGAACTAATTAGAAAGCCAAGAGAGATTTGGGGATTTAGAATACCACACCTCACAAACATCTTGTCATCTTGAGAACAACCCAAAAAAATATCAGAAGCAAATCTTCTCTGCTGCCTGTCTGTCTAGATTGGCATTTAACAGTCATTAGGCATTCAAAAGAAGAGAGAGAGAAGCTAAGGGCATGTTGCAGGCATCTCCTTTTCCTCTGCTTTTGCACCCTTCTCTTCAGTGAGATTTTTTTCTTGTCCCCTGGTTTAATGAGGTGAATCAGGCTGGTGAAGAACCAAGTGAGCCTAGATGAGAAGCAGGACTGCAGAGCCAGGGGAGGGGTAGGGAAGAGGAGGGCAGGGATGTACAGAGCAGAGCCAGCTCTATCAGCTGTGAGATCAGCTTAGTCTGCCTCACCCAGCTCCACCCCTTGAGCCAAATCTAGCTGCTTACCACCACAGAATTCATCCCTCCAGAGAAGGAAGGACAGAGGGAGTTGCTGCTCCAGAGATGACAGCACCTTCTTATCCTCAGGACAGTTAGTTCAAGTTGCAGGTGACAGAAAGAAAAAGGTACAAAGGCCAGATAAGGGTGTAAACACATCTGTGTGTCTCATCTCACAAGTATGAAGGAGTGAAAAGTGAAGCCCAGCTGGTAAGAGGTAATGGCTTGAACAGAATATTGCACCAGCAAGAGCCACTGACTTCAGGCCAGGACTGTGACTTCACATCTGTTTATTCTATGTTAGTCCTATAGAGTATTTAATTCTCATAGCATGCTTGAAAATTACTTGGAAAAATCCATCTCTTGTATTCCAGCCCTACTACTGACCCTGTGTAACTAAAAACCTTCTCTGCAGCTAAAACTTCACCCTTCACCCAGGACAGAACGTGGGCAACTCTTCCATCTCCACCCTGGTTGTCACTGTTCACAAAAACTGTTATTATTCATTACAACAGCAACCAGAACACAAATACTTACAGATTTCCTGCATACTCTTTTGAGGGCTTTGACGAAACTGTAACATTTTTCTCAAAGTAAAAAAAAAAAGGAAAAAGGAAAACTTAGCAGCTGATAAAAAGAGCTGTCGACTAACTTTTAAAGAAAAACAGCTTTAAACCCATTTTGCAACTCAATAGGGAATAAAAACGACTTCATAAATATTAACTGATATTTTCTTACTGAAACTTTTATCACCCTCCATCCTGAAGTATCTTGACTGTACGATAAAATCTTTTCTGAGACTTCATCCACAATTTTCTTGTAGTCCATTGATCTGTAAAGATTTAAGAGGAATTTATTAGTATATAATGAAAGCATTCCTTAAAGAGCAAAAAACACAGGGCTCATTCTTGTCTTTTGTCCACATTTAGTGTGCATTGACTTTAGCATACATTAAGGAAGTATTTCTAGCAATTGAACTTCTTATTCATCATATTTGATTTTGGAAGAAGATATTGAAACAAAATTCTCTGACTGACTTCCAGTCTAGACTACTGAGAAGTGGCCACTGGAGAATGAATTACAGCATCTAGTGAGCACACACAGTTCACTGTGCATTAAATCCATCACTCCAAATTTCAACCTCTCCTCCTGATACAGCTAATTACCCGAGATCCTGACCCTGCCACGATTTTTTGAAGTCACTAGACAACCAGCTGAGTGGTGGAATTAAAACACACGAAGCTCCAACCACTGAAGTGGTAGTTTTCTTATATCAAAGCTTTATGAAGCAAACGTTACAGGCTGTGCTAGTGTGGAAACTCGTTGGCAAGTGAGAGAGGCCC